ACGTCAGCTGGGGACCACCAAGTGCTGCACCAGGTACAGCCTCGCGCGGTAGTTCAGCAGGACGACCGAGTCCAGGGCTATTGTCGCAATTATGGCCGTTACCCACCATGCCCACGGCCAGGTGGAGGCGCCGAGCTACCAGCGGAACCAGCAGAGGCTTGGGAAGGTGGAGTCCACCCCGATTGCTCCAGCAGCCGGTTGAACGTCTGCTCCACCTTCGGCGAGCCCGCTTGGCGCCCTTGACACGGGCCTGCTTGGACATGAGCTTCTCCATGCGCTCGGCCTCCTCATTGGTAAGGGCTTGCTCCAAAGACCTCTTGCGAATGTCAGCAAGTTCGCGAGAGATCTCTTCAGGATCTCCAACGGCAGAGCCTGCGTCAGACATGTCTTCATCAATACCTCGGGCAACTTCAGTTTGAAGGTCGCGCATGGCCTTCCAATATTCAAAGGATTGTCCATGGGTAGTACACCAGGCATGTAGATCAGTATCAGTGGCCTGGGCGAGGTCCGTTGGGGCCATGCCAGCGACGCCAGCCGCTGCTCCCTCAGGTCGCCCAAGGCCTCCTGGTGTCGCAGCCGCAATGAGGGGAGCACCACCCCCTCCAGCAGCACCCACGGCAGGAGGCACTCCACCTGGACCGCCAGGAGGAGGAAAGGCAGCCTGAGCACGCTCACGCTTGATCTCTGCCACCTTGTTATTCTTCCAGGTCTCGGGTACGAACCCCTGAAGCGCAGCATCAGCAGCCTGCCGCGCCGTCTTGGCCTTGTTGAGCTCCGCCGAGGCCTCCGCCAAGGACGACTCCGCCTCCTGTAGCTGAGTGCGCAACTTGTTGCACTTCTCCTCGCGGAAACTGATGTCCTGGTGCGCGATCCTCTCAGTACGCGCCGCCGCCTCGAGCTCCTTCGCCAGGCGGGTGCGCTCCTCACGCGCTCCAGCATCAAGTTGTTGTTGGCTCCATTCGGCAGGAAGCAATGGAGCTGGTGCAGCCATTGGCTCAAGATGGACCCGTAGCTCAGGACGGGCTCGTAGGAGAAGGTTTGCGGCATTCCGAAGTTCCTCATCATCAGCTGGTGCGTCAGGCTCATCGTAGTCCATCCCGCATTTGTCAATCTTGGGATCCGCTCCAAAGTAGGCGCCGCCACACTTGGAGCAGCAGGGATGTCCACGTTGTTGATACTCCCAGTGGTAGCATTTGCTGCAAACGCTGTATCAACTGGAGGGGCGAGTACAATCTCGCCCGCGGCCACCACGGCCGCCGCGCGTTCCCCAGCCGCCGACATACTGCCAGCATAATCTCCATGGAGAATAAGTGAAGCCATGATCAGCACCAGCATCAGCCTCTTTGTTGCGCCACGGTGATGATGACGACGACGATGACGACGATGATGACGATGACGATGACGATGACGATGACGATGATGGTGGTGAGGATGATGCTGATGATGGTGGTGATGATGATGAGGATGGTGGTGGTGGTGATGACGCTGGTATGATTGTGGTGGTGGTGGAAAGGCGGAGGAGGAGGTAAGAGTTAATGAAGGGATGAGGTGGAGGAGGAGGATGAGGAGGAGGAAGATCATGAAGAATGTGGCGGAGGAGGACGAGGAGGAGGAGGCAGAGGAGAGCGAGGAGGACCAGGAAGCAATGGAGGAGGCCGGAGGCAGAAGGGAGCAGGTAAAAGTGGAGGGAGGAAGAGGGGGATGACGAGGAGGGGGAGGAGGTGGAAGAGGCACAAGGATAGGGGGTTACGAATCTCTTTCTGCCTTTGTACTCCCAGGCCAGTTACCATAGCATATCGATATCTCATTCCGTGAGGGCGCCGCGACGCAGATTACAATCCAGCCATGCTCCGTGAGGGTGCTCTGGCGACGGGCTGGACCAGCGATAGAAGGGCAAGTGCGTTTCACGTAGCCCGTGGACACGCGAATCTCACCTACAGTAGGAACGTCAAATAAGAAACGGACCTGGCAGCAGGTGCCCCACGGAAGGTTCTTACCCCAGGACTGCTTTGTGGGCCCGCAGAAGTTTTTGGCGAGATTTGTTATCGTATGAACCTACTGTGTTTCCGCTCGCCATGATCGCGACGATGTTGCACTTGCTCGCGCAGCTCCTCAGTTTCGCGCGCTTCCTGTTCATGTCGTGGGTGCTTGCAGTCATGATTCGCTTCTGGCCGCCTAGATTTCCGCAGGGCTCACGAGACCCGAGCCGGCTTTCCTCGGGCCCCGCTCGCGCCCCTGGCTTCCCGCCCCTTGCTAAGTTAAGCAGCCCAGACAGACGGGCACGCCCAGCCACGTAATCACGTGAACGTGCCCCCCACAGCTCACCAGGCCGCCCTCACGCCACGGACGCTCGCGCCCATTGAGTCGGACGACGTGCTGGAGACGTCTCTGATGCGAGTGAGTGTCGCCCACCCAGGTTTTGTTGTCAGAGTTTGCTGAATTTAGTCTTTGGCCTTGATATGTATCTTAAGTTCCAGCAGTTGGATAAATTACAAAGGCGCTCTGGGTTGGGAATCGTGTTGCATTGGAACATGTGTTCGACCGCTCCGCCTGGGCCTCCGGGCCACAGGCGGCGGGCCTCCGGCGGTCGTCCGAGACGATTCTGGCACCCCCAGTGAAAGCTAAGCTCTCCCAGCGAAGCGCCGCTGCTGGAAGGAAAGCATCCCGAGGCGGGAGCGCACCACCCACCAAACCACCCCAACCCAACCCGAAGGCCTCAACTTGCCAGTGTGGGGGGGTCCGGGAACATCGAACAAACACATACGGAGCTCATACCCCCCCGAACCCGAAATTCGGGTCTTCGGGTCGGGTTGGGGTAGTCTGGTAGGTAGCCAGGAGCACACCGCCGAGAACCATCCACCTGCGGAAGCTATTTTTTGTTCTTTGGCGCGCAGTGGCCGTGGCCCGCTCCGCCAAAGACGTCCTCGTAGCTCTGGGCTTCAGATGCCGCGCGAGAGGTGGTCTGGCCCGTCTCCAGGGCTCGTTTCGATTCCTCCCGTTTAAATTCGATTCGACTTCGATGGCTTCCGATTCCGATTCAATTCGACTTGGGATTCCGATTTGGGTTCCGATTTTTCACTGGAGGCATACTAGCCTGCCAATGCCTACCGATTCGAGGTTTCCTGGCTCGGCTGCCGATTTCCGCCGATCCGATTCATTTCGATCGCCGATTCGATTTACCGATTCGATTCTGTGTACTCCTGCGTCTCACGCAGAAAATGTGCGCGAGGTGGTCCAGCCGTTTCGCCCGAGGTATTCTCGCAACTCTGGGCTCCTGAGGAAATTTGCACAAGGTGGTTTGGCCCGTTTCGCTTGAGACATCCTCTGCCCGGTCTGGCCACCATCTTTCAGTGCATAGGAAGCACGAGCTAATTGTTGCCGCAGGACTGTCCAAAGGTCCTCCAAACTTGACCCACGATGGCTCGAGGGGGCTCCGAGCCGTCCCAGGAGGCGCCGGAGACGGCCCAGCGGTGTCAGCCAGTGCATGGAGAGCAACCATGCAGCCTTCACATTTTTGTGAAGCCGACGTGTGATAGTTTTCCAATTCATTGTTTTGCCGATCGGCGCGGGCCCTCGCTCCCCCCTCCTCCCCCCCTCCTGAGAGTAGATCTTGGCTGTTTGGGGCGCCTGTTTCGAGCAGGTGGAGCCTCCCCGCCATAGGACGTACGGTTCCAATCAGTCAAGTAAAGCAGAGGTCCGGAGTCAGACCCCCCCCTTCCCCCCCCCTCTTCGCACAATGTCGAAACGCCGATGAAACAAAAAACGCTCACCACGTGTTTGGTCCGCGAAGCGTCGACCCTCGGAGACCCCAGTCACAGGCCCACTGGTGCTCCTGGACCGTCGCCGTGCCATAATCCAGGAGCGCCGGTGGGCCTGTCTTCGGGGTCTCCCCGGGAGCCGTTCTCGAGCCGCCTCCGGGGCCTCCTGGGCCCCTGCTGGGGCTCTCCGGGGCAGTCTTGGTTCCTCGGGGCCATCGTGGAGGCCTCGTCTTTCTTCGTTGGGCGGCCCGGCAGCCCCGCGGGGCTTCCTGGGGCCTTCTCGAGCCTCCTCTTGTCTTTGGAGCGTCCAAGGATCATCGGAGGCTGTCTTGGGCCCCTCGTGGGCCGTCCTGGGCGCTTCTGGGTACAATTCTGGGCGCATCTGGAGCCCGCTTGGAGCGATCTCGGGGCAGGGACCTCGCGCCTCCATGGCAGTGCTGGGGCTTCGGAGTCGCTCCCAGATGCCCCTGCGGCAGCAGGAGGAGGAGGAGGACGAGGAGGAGGACGAGGACGAGGACGAGGCGAGGACGAGGATGAATAGCACCAGGAGGATGCAGATTCGCGTGATGAGGGGAACGAGAAGGAGTGGCATGAGGAGGTACAGGATAAGGAGGAGGAGGAGGAGGAGGAGGAGGAGGAGGAGGAGGAGGAGGAGGAGGAGAGGGGAGGAGGAGGAGGGAGAGGAGGAGGAGGAGGAGGAGGAGGAGGCAGGAGCAGGAGCGAAGCAGGAGCAGCAGAGCAGGAAGCAGGAGGGGAGGAGGAGGAGGAGAGGAGGAGGAGGAGGAGGAGGAGGAGCAGGAGCAGGAGCAGGAGCAGGAGCAGGAGCAGGAGCAGCAGCAGCAGCAGCAGCAGCAGCAGCAGGAGGAGGAGGAGGAGGAGGAGGAGGAGGAGGAGGAGGAGGAGGAGGAGAGTGAGGAGTGGAAGGGGTGAGGGCGACGGCAAGAAGAAGGCGAAGACGGATCAGGAACAGGAGCGCGCGCGCGAATATTTTTAGGAGCCACCTTGGCTCAACAATCGCTGTTTGGGGACACTGGACTCTCTCCCCCGCCCAAGCGTTGCCATTGCCCGTGGCCCCCTCCCCTTCCCGGGGGGGTAACGACCGCTGCGCGGAAATGCGAGGAAGCCGCCTCGCGCCCGACGTGCCCCGTTGCAGAAGTCTGGCCCAGCGACGTCCTCTCCGTGCCGCCGCCGCCGCCGCGCCAGTCGCGCGCGCGCGGCTCCGCCGCCCGCCCGCGCGGGGAGGACCGCGCCCTCGCGCAGGCGGCGTTCGGCGGCGCGGCGGCGCACTGAGCCCGGGGGCGCGCGCGCGAGCGGGCATGCTGGCCCGGGCGCCGGGTGCGGCAGCGCCGCCCCGAGCACCGGAGGCGCCGCCAGGTGGTGTCCAGCGCAGTCCCAAGAAATCCGCGCGGAGCGCCAGAAGTTTATGTTGATGCGTTTTTTTTCTTCTGGAGTGAGGGGGGTGCCTACATTCGGACCGAGGTTTAAGATCGAGGTCGGTTCGGGGAGCGTACCCTAGTAGTCTCCGTGTCTGCTGGGTGTTCTTGTGCATCCCAGGGAGGGTGCCCTGGGATGTGCTGTTTGTCTTGGCCGGCGGAGGGTCTCATGTTCTTGACGGATGTTTTTGTGGCTTAGGTCCGACTGTAGGGGTGGGTGGGTGGACATCATGACCAGGGCCATGACATCGCCCAAGATTTCATGGTCCCTCTTCTCATTTCAGTGCGTCCCTCCCCCCTGGGCCGCACACATGCCACGGGCCATGATTTGAGAACCCCCACTTGGACGCCCCCCTCTTGGACGCCCCCGACGAGTCGATACAATATCGACTCCGGCCGGCTCGGTCTGGCCCGATTCCGCTACTCCGACGGTCCGACGCCACTCTGACGGTCCGACGCGCTGCCGACGCTTGCATGGCCGCGTTGTGCATCTCGCCGCAGCCGATGCGATCCGATCTCGACCCCCGCGCAGATGCGGCCCGATCCGACGTGCATCCCGATTCGATCTGGGTTCTTGATTCGATGCCGCCAGATCCTGCCTGAGGGGCAGTCGTTGGAACCCCCTGGGAAGCGCTCGGGGAGCGTCCTGGCAGCGTTCTGGGGGTGCCCTGGGAGCGCCCTAGGAGCGCCTGTGGGCGCGATGCTTGTGGGTGCTACGAGGAGGAGGAGGAGGAGGAGGAGGAGGAGGAGGAGGAGGAGGAGGAGG